TCCATAGGAGTTTTGTTTGTGAAATGAAAGAAGAAACAAACTACTGATATTAGGATTCCTACAAGATAGTTATCCTAGGATCAGAAAATAGTCCTTCTTCCAAGATATCATTTATGAAGAACTGCACATTAGTCTATTACTTAGGAGAGGGTGCACTTGTACTCAGAGATACTTGTATTGGATATAGTACTGCGTTCATTTCCTCGGATTCTCTCAGCTTTGTTTTTCTCTTAAACCCTTGCCCAGGTTCGGCAATGTTAATATTCAACTTCATGCAGTACTTGCTTCCTAAAGTGGACTAGCTATGCCCAGGGTCTCTGACTCCTCTGATTAATTCTAGATACAGAAGATGTGTTACAACATAAGGTGGCCTGACTTGTCAGACAGTTGCCAAAGGAATGAACTCTGAAATGGGGGGATATTTACTTTCCATTGAGAAGAACTTGACTAATATTAGACAAAAGATAAGAAATTCTGCCTCCCTTCTTCCTTATGATTGGGCTATTCCGAGTCATGGTTGTTCATATAGACTGTTAGAGATATCCTGCAAGTCTGTGCTGATAAATGTACTAAGTGACTGGCTTTGTCTCTTTTAGTTTTTCTCATGAAATAGTGCTTAGTGTGATCATGAATCATTGTACTTTAACTTCCTGCTTAACTTCACTTCTCCTTCATTATTGCAGCACTGAGATTGTACTTCTTTGAAATATTACTATGTAAGCCTTGCCTCAGGTTTTTTCCACAGAACCCTGGTTAAGATAATAGTTATCACAATCGTTCTAGTTCGGGATTGGAAACTACAGCCCATGAGCAAAATCTGGTCTGCTGCTTGTTTTGTAAAATATGTTATTGGAATATAACCATGCCCATTGATGAAAATATTGGCTGTGACTGCTTTCTTGCTAAAAGAGCAAAGTTTGTCAGTAGGGGCTGAAATGACATGTCCTACAACACCTAAAATATTTACCTATTTTACCCTTAACATAAAAAGTTTAATGACAGGGCCAGCAGGTATAGTGGTTAAAGCAATGGACTCCCACATGGTCGACTGTGGTTTAAGTCCTGGACCCAGTGGC